AGCGGCATAAATCATTTCCTTTGATTTCAAAAGCATGAATTTATGTATTTCCTCTGAGAGAATAGATTCTTATTTTCTTTAACATGGAGGAAAATTTATTTATCTATATAAAATAGTAAATGATTTGTCACGTCCCGGATGTGAATCGGGAGCGCCTTCCGTAGGTTGGAGGCTACGAGAGACTCAGTGCAACAGAGTGAGAAGAAGCGAAGAAGGAAAAAAGAAAAGTGAGTGTTCGATCGTAATATGAACGATTGCCACGTTGTTTTCGAATGACTGTGGAAATAATTAATTATATAGAATAATAAAATTTTATATTATGCCAAAATATAATTAGACACAAAAAGCGATATGTATTAAAATTATGTTATTATTGATATAAATTACTTTCAATAATTTAATTATGTGCAAGTCGAAGTTTTATCATTCCGTAGCTTATTAAAACATGAAAAGAATTATAAAATTTTTATCTACTGCAGAATTATTTTTGCTGATGCAATGATATTCGATCTTATGGTACTTTGTAAACGATTCTTTTAAATTGCTCAAATGCTTTTTAAAATTGTTTTTTATTCACTTTTTTGTCGTATATAATCATCAATACATACCAACTTTACGTTTCAAGAAGATTAGAAAATAGATTTCAATTTACTTTTTTTAATTCAAAAAATCAATATATACCTCGAAGATTTTGCATTGGGCTGTAATCAATATATATATATATATGTGGATTATGTGTTAACTGCGTGATTTTTGAAAAAGGATGTTTAGCCAAGTATTAGTGTCTTACGCTGGATGACAATCATATCGAGACTTTCGAAGGTACGTTGAACACTACAGTCGATAATACTCGGAATTTTGTCTCGTCATCCAGGCACGATTACGCACGATGGTTTATTTTTTTTCTCTTGAAAATGAGATTCTGTCTTTTTTAAGAGAGGAAAAAACTGATTGTACAAACGCTGCGATGACATTCGCGGATTTCCGGCGTTTGTCGAAGAATGTTGTATCTGAAGAGTTTATATGTATGTAGAGAAATCTTATATGTGTATTCGTCTAACTCATATTATATATGGTACGTAATTGTTCATAATCTAGTTGCAAGATAAAAATCCGGCTAACAAAGTATGACGTCGAGGATGACGTTGGCAAAAACACGTCGCGCGTTGCAGCAACTGATGTTAAGATTGGAATTGAGAATGATTCTTGATACCGCGACGCTAAAAAAAATGTGATATATATGTATATTATATTTCAAAGTAAATTATTAGTACTATAAAATAACACATTTATGAACAAATTGTGAGATAAATGACATTTTCCATACCAAATGATTAACATAGAGATATATAGATTTTATCCAAAGCATTCGGCTTATCTGCAGAACGCCCAAAAAGAACATATACAAACAAGCATCTATAAACAGAGAAAATAATTAATATTTAACGATAAATATAGTTATATATAATTTTAAAAAATAGAGACTCTTGAATGCGGATTAGAGGATTATGAGCTTTTGGTAATCATACCACAGTGTTTAGGAAATTCTATGTAATTCTAGCGATTGCGCTGGATAGAAAGAAAAATATGCACGGTTTTGGTGTTTCATCGTTTGTACATTCTATTGATCTGGCGCACACTTCTTTTTTCTGTACTGCCAATAACGGATTTAACGTAGAGATAGACGAACTCGCGGTGCATAGAGCCGTATTTATATTTCGTATTTAGCGCGAAATATTGATTCTAAGGACTGTTAAACTGTTAAATGCGACCTTCGTAACGAGACAAATAAATCTCAAAATCAAACGACCACATTTGACGTTAAATGTGAGAATGTACGAAACCGTAGCCTTTAGCAGAGCGGGGAGATGATTAAATTTAGCGTAGGAACAAAATGCGGGATGCGAATTTTAGCGGTCGTCGAACACGAAATGTTACACTGATATTGCATGACAAGTATTATTAGCGTACTCGATTTAATAATGTCGTTACGTACGACTATGTGTATATTTTTTTTCGTTCTGTAATGCCATATTACATGTTAGTCGATCCTCAAATAGAATATAGATCCGATCCGATTGTTAGTCGCCAAGCGTGCTATGAAATATGACGAAAACGTGTAATGTGACGCGACAAGTGGAATTCTTCATGTCGCGTTGTATTATCAATATTCTATTTGAATGTACGAGACCAAAGAGGATTTTGCAAAAGAGAGCCGTTAAGAAAGGAATGATTTGCGGAACCATTTTAATCATTTATGGCATTTTACCGGTGAAATCATTTCCGAACGGTACGGGGAAAGTTGCAGCAAAAATGATACTTAATTTTAACAACATAATTACATACCGTTGCCGATTGATAAAATGGTTCCGCAAATCATCACGTTGAGTAACAGTGATCGGCGTGTGTTCCTCGTGTAATATTATACGAATGGTGGTGTATCGATGCTAGATAACACGAGTGATTACTGAAACTGTTTTCCTTATGATTATTATAAGGCTTTGTACATAGACGAAAACTGGAGTATACCGCTGCAAGCTATTAGCTGTGACCAGCTGTGACACTATCTCCTAAATGTAATTGTTTGATTTAAGTATGCAACACACATACTTCGTCATCCAAAAACGTTGCTGTTAGGAGTTTCGAATATTTTCCGAATATTTTATTCATAAAAGTAAAAAGTATATCTAAATCATTTTATTTATGTAGATGTATACGTACGTTTCTTTGTGAAGAATAACCGTTTCTTTTTTTACTGTGTTTTATTATTTTCGCGTAAAAAAATATATAGTCTTATTGATAATTTTTTAAAAATTAATCATTTCACAGTTCGCGATATATTTATAATATAGGATCCATAAGAGAAAATGGAGAAGGCTAAAGGTGCCGTTACGAAAGCGATTTTTCCATAAAGACAGATTCACTTTAATGAAAAAATTGTTCTGCTTTGAAGAGAAGTATATATTACCTGTTATTGCCTAAAAATAATATAAAATACAGTATAGATAGTATATTACCGAATTTTTAAATTCGTACTACTGGGTTGGGAAATTTATAATGAAAATTCTTCAGCGAGAGTGCACTCTTAGCATTTTCTGTTCCCTCTTAATCATCTTCAAAAAATTTTTCGACGATACTTACATAGGAATAATATATGAACACCAATGCCCAGTCAAAACGTTATCACGTTTAAACAAGATAAGATTGTTGTCCTGAAAATCGTTTGATAGAAATTTCTATAGACATCTTAAATATATAACTGCAAATTACAGAAAATAGTTTCGGTTTGACGCAATTCTGTTTTTAAGTCAACGCGATAAAATAGGTAAAAGCTCGCCTAACAGAAGATACGATAGTAATATAGTCAAAGCGATATATTGAAGTTGCATCTCATCTCACCACAATAACTTCAATGTGCAGAATCTATAATAAAAGAAAAACATGTTTAGCTATAAACTATTTAATATTAGATTAAATGGTTTCTCATCTCGTTGTCTTTGGAATTCATGAATTTCATCGCATTAACAGTGTCATGTTGATCTGCGTAACAGAAAAACGTATCGTCGATCTGTGTAAATATGTGTATAGATAAAAAGTAGAATTTATGCGCCCGTGTTGCATGTGTATGCATGATAAAGAGAGGAAGCGAGATAAATCGATGTTTATATTATACCGAACATATATATTAAATTACGATTTAACTTTAAGTATGTGGATATTATCTATTTAACTGTACGATTTAAGCGACGATTGATCCTTTGCATTTCAAACTTAAGAGTAGTCGTTAGATAGACTGTAAGTATTTATTATTATTTTGTAGCCACTTCGTATTAGACGGAACGCGTGAGTGTATAGAAACGAAAAAAGGTTCTTCAAATGTTTGGTACGAACAGCAAAGTCGAGCACAATCTAATATGTTGTACTACTACCGTGATTAATTAAATTCTCTTTCTCTATCTACCTACTTCTATATTATAGGTAGAATTCTGAATGAAAAATCTCTAATCAATATTAACTTTTTTTCTAACATTAATTAATTAATTTTCAATCACCATAAAAATTTGAATGTTCAAAATTTCAAGAATTTTTAGACATTTCTATTATTTGATCTATCCTTCATGTTGTACAAGTGATCTAGAGTTTGAAAAAAAATCGAGATTTTAATTTATCAAAGTTGTTAAAGTACAATTTGAAAAAGAAGGCGAATTCGTGAATGTAATCACGCCTCGTTATCACAAGAATCGTTTTGTACTCGTATCCAATATTTCAACAACCTTACATCTATAAGAAGATACATTAATATATTGAATCCCTGCGTATGTACGTAGCCATTCCGTTAGAGATGGTGAATAGGGAATGGAGAAATAATGACACACATACACACACACACACACACACACACACACACACACACACACAAGTCGATCGAACAAAATCACACGATTCTAGATTCGGCGCACGCGTTTGTCGCCGTCACAGGTCTAAATATTTATATATTACACGGAACGATGACATTGTATCGACGTTTAATATTATCTTTCACCGTTAAAATTGTGCACAACGTCCTCGGATGGGACGCGACTTCAGAAATGTAACAAAAGAAGAAAATAAATGCTGTTTAGAGAATTATAAAATCACAATCACATGTTTTTCTTTCTTTTTACACATCTCATCTATTACCGTTCAAATAAATGAAACATTCTTAATTAAATGTAGCTAAGAAATAATGAAATATCAATTTTTGTTATTATCTTATGATTGTAATATCTGACAGTGATATCTTCATTTTCAGTAATGTCTTGGAATTGGAAAAGATTAATGTTGTATGTTTGTTAAATTATTCAAGATATTAAGTTCTTAAAATAAATATTATTTCTTGTAATAAGATAATAGAACAAGAGATAACGTCTTGGAATTGATTTCTACTTGCAAGTGAAAACCAATTCTCTCGTTTAATTTATTTGTATAGGCTTAATATTAATAGTAGTCGCAGTACGCGATGTATGCGTATGAAAAATCTTTTATTGAAAAATGTTCTTTCACGCTACAACGTCAGTGTACCCTTGTCTATTTAACTTTTTATAACAGTACAAAAATTGCATTTTTACAAGTTGCCCAGCTTACTTATGTGACTAATGTATCCCAGTTAGCAATCTGACGAAGGGTCTTATTACGACTTATCTAATATTATCCGGAGAAGCTGCGGCAAAACGTGAACACTAGTACTCCAGCGAGGGATGCGAAACCCCTCGCGTACAAGAAAAAAAGCGTCCCGCGGCGTGCTTTCCGGTCGCGCGACGCGCTTTCTTTAAAGTAAATCAGTCGCTACGACACATCGGTCCTATACTTATCCACATCGGATCTAATTACCATTTGCTACTGGGTCTCGTGAATATCTTCAGCCGGAAACTCACATCGTCTTGTTCTCGAAATCGCAATCAAGAAAAATCATTCCAAATAGTCTACTACAATTACTACTGTATTCACATCAGTAGCGCAATTCCTAAGCAGTCGCTGATGATCACTGTAAGTGTCCGGCCAAAGAATAATCCGCGAATTTACAACCCGTACATATCATTCGTTTATCCTACTTTCGCCTATCCTGAACCGAGGTCAACGAGCGGATAACAGAAAATGCGGCAAACGTGGTACATTTTATCGCTATCCAAATTAAAAGGATAGCCAGAGAACCCGAAATGAATGTAACGAGTCAAGCAAATAAAATGTGCACACGCGCATATATATAAATAACCGCGAACTGGAAAATCGCAAGGAGTTAAAAATCATTAGTATTTACATACTAATAGAAATTGGATATCGCATCGATACGAAGTGAATTATTCCATTAATATGTAAGTACACTCTTTAAAATGGAAAAACTTCGTGTTACCTTTTTATGAACTTCGTTAACATCGCGTCCATTATTTCAGTAACTTATAAATTTTTGAATTTTTAGTAACATAATGCAAAACATGCATTTTACATTTATTAACATCTATCTTATATTAAGAAAACGCTTCTTTCAGGATTACTCGAAGTGTTCCTACACATAGGATACACATTATCCTCCTTGTGATTCTCCACTTTGCGACTAAACGTTTCAGCTGAACACCTCGTTGATTTGTTTATCCGTTCGTTTTCACTCGTTCGCGCGCATCGTCAGTCTTCGCGCCTTTCGAAAATCACGAAACAAACCGCCGCCGACAGTTAATTTTGAGCAAGGCGTCTGTCGATCCTGACAGAGATTGTGCAAAGTACTAAGTACATATGTTTACGCTATTCCGTAAAGCTTACCATAAACAACAATGACGATAGATTAATGATCGATCGGCAGAAAATTAACGTAGCGGCGGCCTCCGATCCTCGGCAGGATTGATTTTTTTCCCCTTTTTCCCTTTTCTTTTTCCCTTCTCTTAGCTTTGATCGCTATATGTATATGCGGATAAAATCTCTTTGCATCCTTTATATAGTTCAGGTCCTGCCTTTTTCAGTTGGAGATTAGATGCTGCGCTTCAATTAGATGAAATATATAAGTAGTAATTCTACGCTGAATGAAATTCCTGATGTCGCTTAGGAGCAGTCTTTGAGCTTTTTCATGCGTTCTCGCTCGAATCGCTTTACTTATTGCGTGTACAACGTGGCGAATATGTATGAATGTCTGTGTGTGCGCGTACGAGTGCAAATGTGTATACTTGTTTATGCGTATGTGTGTGTAAGATGTGGATTGTATGCGTTTTCTTTCAAGTGTCATCCTAATTCTGGTAATGTGTATATGTAGATTTAATGTACAATTAATTAACTATACAGATTAACTGGTAGAAATTAGAAACGTTTGACTAGCTTTTGATCATCTCTCTTGGAATTCGTGGAGTTTCATCCTTCGCAATATATATGTATATATAATCGATCGGATACAGTTTTGGTGGTGCTGCTATTGCCGCTGATCGAGTAAAAGGTATCGCGTATGTGAAACCAAATAATGATTAAGTATGGTCATCCCTTCAGTGTGTGTACGGTTATTATTAAATATAGACAGTTCTTAACTTTATTCTAACAGGATACTCCTGGATTCGAGAAATCACCGCGCGATCTTACACGTATTATCCTCTAGCAGAATATAATTGTTACAATAATCACTAATATAATATATACTAATTAACTAGTTTCATCTTCTTCAACCTCGCTCTCGCTCATTTTTTTTAAAATCTCTTTCGCTCTTATTTTTTCTCTCGCGCGCTCGCTAATTCTTAATTATTTTGACAAGTTTTTCCATCTTCACAGTCTTCTCCAATTATTCTATTCACGCGCGCACGACATCCGTACGAACGGAAGGGACAGTGAAGCATCCAGATAATCTAAATCGACGGATCGTGGCGCGTGAATTATTCAGTCTTTCGTTATATATTTTTTTTTATTTCACGGTTAATCGGTTATTATTCACTAGCGTTATGCGATTTAATAAATTTAATTTTCTGCTTGCACGAAAAAATATTATGCTACATTACTCGCAACGCTACTTTAACACATGCTAAATAGATTAGATACGATGTATGCTTATAATTTAAAGCCACAGATTTCGATGTCGCGCCATAATACGTACAGCGCCAGTCTACCTCCCTCGAATTTCGCTGCTACTTTATAATATCAAATTTCTACACCTCATACGTTTGCTCATCTTTCACGTAAGGCCCTTAATATCTTATTATTGTATACTTACTTGCGTTCAGTAGTTTATCATTTAAAAAAATAAGAAAAAAAAGAAAAATGGGATGAAATCCGTCAACCAAATTGAAAAATTACGAGATCTGTGCGCAAACTACAAAGCATACACGCCGCCATACATACTTCTCAGTTGAGATTAAGTTTTAAAGTTTTATGCGCGAATTAACTTATGCGACAAAGCGGCAATCCTTTAAGTATGCTCATTCCCTAGACGGAGTATAGTAATAGTAAAGAGCGATAGTAACAGTAGTGAGAGTGATAGTAATGGAAATAGTAGTAATAGTGATAGAATAGTAATGATAGTAGTAGCGATAATAGTAGGAGCAATAGTAGCGCTAGTAATAGTGATGTTGATAGTAATAATAGTAAAAATATAATATTAATAATAATAATATAGTAATATAATAAAAAGAAGTAAAATCAGTCCAGTTATTAAAAATGAATTACAATTACGTTACTACAACGTCTCCCGCAGCGCTTAAAATCAGACGAATTCCATTTCGTAAAATGGATAACACAAAAAATAATATTGCAGAACATCGCATGGTGATGTAATGTTATCTTTTCCATCTTTCTTTCCTCGTATTTTATGATTAAAAATTCCTTTCTTTCTGCCTCATAAAATCCTATTATATGCATTGTATATATATATATACTTTTTCTTATATAATATCTTTATATATATGGTTGCAGCAAACAATCGAGGAAAGAATCTATCTTTCTAGCATTTGGCTTGCCAAATTCTGTCAATTAAATAATACAATTGCATCGGACATTAATAAAAAATAATTTGTGTACGTGTATTATGTGTAAGTGTTCAATCTTCGAAAAAAAAAACTTATCTTTATCTCTCTCTCTCAATAATGTCACACGTTTCGGACATTTTTTTCCCATTTGGTTAGGATATTAAAGCATAAGTGTGTGTACACGCAGATATTTACACACTAAAAAAATGTGTCGTCTCCATTGCAATATCACTTTAAAACAATGACTCAAACATGGTTTGCCAAAACACGAGCGAGCGCGAGATAGAGATGACTCGCATTTTGGCGAACAGAATTTCCCTCAGTTTTCGGAGTCAAAAATCCGAAAAGGATTTAAAATGGGACTTACTTATAATCTCAGAACGCGAGAATGGAAGATTAGGCCTCGCCGAAGCCACCGATCGCTTGCTCAGTCATTCTCAAGCAGAGGGATTCCAAGCGAGAATTGATTTCCGGTTCCGTCGTCTCATTCGCTCCATTAGCAGAGTGGCCCACGAAATGATCACGTGGCGCGCTATATGCACGTTGCAATGTTTTCTGCAATTGCTATAAAGTAAAATCAAAATCATTGTATTAATAAACAGAATCTATTTTACAGATTTTTAATATTAAATTCTTTCTTACCTGCAAGCTGGTCTCCTGTAAACTAGGTCTCTTCTCGGTTATATGCACCGCACGCAAGTTATTCGTGTTCATACTATTCATGTTATGATTCTGATTCTGATTATTTTGTAAATATGGTGTGGATATACTGTTTCTATGCGAAGCAATCATAAACTGATTGTTATGTGTATGGTTATTGTGAATATGATTCATATTCAAACTTGGCTTTCTGTGTTGCTGTGGATTCCCATATCTTCTATTATTATATCCGTAGTTATGTTGCCATCTAAAATTACATCTATTAGGTCGAAAATTATCACACATTTACACAATACTCATCAATTTACTTTAAATATTTCTCTAAACATTTTATATTAACGAAGACATATATCTCGACTTACTTAGGAGTTGGTCGCGGATTTCCAAGTCTACTGCGCCACTGTTGCACTTTCTCCTTCTGATTCGAGGTGAAACAGTCGTGCTGCAACACTTTTTCCAAAATGTTGACGTACGTGCACAAAATACCATCCTCAACGCTTTCCAAAGCCAATCTACTGCACACTAAAAAGAAAAACCAAAATAACGTTTTTAATCACTCTAACAAAATTTTGATAAAATTGGAACCATTACACCACTTAGTTTGTACGTACGTTTTCCAAGTACTTTTGTAAACTGCGCAGGAATATCTTGTGGATCATTCTCTTGACTCGGCTTCATAGGAGTGGCAAGAATCGTTTTAAGTTCTTCCATTGTATTAAGAAGCAATGATGGTCCCTGCGAAAATGAAGTGTTTTGCATGCCGTCGCGAGCACTAGGTTGCACTAGACCCTTTTCTAGATTTAAAAGCGTATTGTATCGCTGCTGTAGTTTAGCGATAGAAAGAGCCAACTTGTGTCTAGCACCTTTCGTAACCCCTTGTTCCGCTAATTGATCTTCCGTTAATTGCAACATATCTTCATAATTCATAGTAGCAAACAGATAACTGTATTTATGAAGTCGTAATGTTTTAAGCCATAATTGTACGTCTAAAAAGAATAATTTATAATTAGATATTGATATTCTGATCTGTAAAAAAATATAATTAGTTAGAGATGACTCCGAAAGATGTAAGATTAAGACTCCATAATTTCGAAGATGTATTTTCGGGTGATCTCGTATATTATCGATTGACAGTATTAAAATCTTCATCATTTCTACCTCTCATACCACTTGCGAGCGAACGATTCGAAGCATCATCCAAACGACCCTCGCTACCGCTACTCGCACAGGAACTCTGTGGGCTCAGTGGACCCAAACCAATAATATTGCCTAAAAGACGATTTATTCAAAGAAATGCACGGATACAATATAAATTTATCTATATATGAAATATAATTGAAAATTACTGGCGTGATCTCCAGAAACACTAAAGCTGCGCGGCTTGTGTCTAGATGAGTTTGTGTTATTGGTACGATCCACAATTTCGAGGTGATGCGGCGGCGCTACCGGTGGTGTCAAACTATTCGAACGACGTTGACGGTTAACCGATGCGGGAAAATGTAAATTAAACGTGCCGCCTAGTTGTGTATTAAACAAATTTGGCTGATCATTGTGATGTTTGGAATTCCTCTGCCATGGATTCTCCCATCTTATAATAATAAAAAACTCGAATTTAGAACCATACTACAGATATAAGAATATATATAAGTATCATTATAGTATCACATTATTTCAATTTAATTCACCTCATTGCAGCATTCGGATAATCTTCGAAACCAGAAATGGGTGGTGTACTACTGATACGATCTTCTAGATCTCTGAGCCATTGAGTTAAAAGACGTCTGTCTTGACCATTTATGGCAGGATGAATCAGAGTGTAACTCAAAAGCTGCTGCGTTTGTTCTGTATATTGTCCCGTACTTACGCAATGGTTTACTAATTCTGGTATCGCTACCAGATAGCTCTTTTTACACTCTACATTCCCAGGCTTTAATAAAGGCAGATGTGTCAAGAGTTGATTAATCGCAATCTCTGTTGATTCTGCCGACAATGAATTGATGTAACCTATAATAAAATATTTTATTATTAACATATTTGTTCTACAAGTATGATATATTAAGTATTAATTAAAATCATGCTTAAAGTTGTTCTTGAGTATAAAACGTAAACATGATAATTACTTGGATTATTGGCATTTATTTCCTTGGTATCTAATTCTGCCACAGAGTGCAATGAGTGTTCTATCGCCTGCGAGAGAAACCTCGCCTGTACAGCAGGTATAATACGCAACAGCGCATAAAGAACAACAGTCTGTTCACATTCGTTCCACTGGGAGAACACACGAGTGAGTTCGCCCACTTGCTCATTGAAGGGAGTAGCGGATGTCCACTTCATTTTGAATCACTTACAAATTTCTCTTGCAATGCAGTAGCGTTTCAACCACTGCTCAAGCCAAACGCACAGCAATCGTGCTCACAGCCTTCAAGTAGCTGACCAATGTCAGTATTCTGCTACAAAAACAAAAGGAATCGAAACATGTCATTCTATTTAAATCACTTGTAAATCATGTTTTTATAAGAAACAGAACACACATAAACAGTCAATTATTATTATTATGTTACAAAGTAGTACTAGATGATAAACATTATTTTATAAAGGAAATGTAAAAGGATTGTATTTTAATATATATTCTACCAATCTTGACTTTCCAGTTTGGAGGCCAAAAGTGTACAAACACAAACATTAATTACATTTTTTATCTAGTAAAAAAAAAGTTTAAATCTTTTAACGTAAAATTTTAAAAAAGATATAAGTACAATTAAAATCTCACAAGAAACGATATACAAATCGCAATTACATAAATATATATCTTACAAAAATTCTAAAACTGAATTTATCTTAAGCGATTAAAAAGTTCGTTTTAGCAGTATCGCGAAATTAGAGAACGAAGCGTCATCCGGTATGTCAAACGAGGCACGTCATCATGCCGTTGCTCGTTCGAACTATCAAGAAGTCCGCGAAGTTTTTCCTTGATCATCGCGAAGGAACGAGTAATCCTTGAGAAAATTATATAATGGATGGCAAATATTCCACAATGCGTTTCCTGCTCGCAGCAGGTTTACCTTGTCGCGCACCTAAGCACCGGCTGGGACTTATCCGCCGTCTCTGCGACGCGTCGAATTCGAAGGACGTGGTCGCGACACATAACCTCAAAGTCGCTCGCCTACTGTACGCCGATAAGAGAATTCCGCTGAGGTCAAGTTTGTTTACCCCGCGCGCGATGCGTGTGTATTTATAGCCTTTCCTGCTGCGATCCGTTCGGCGGTGCAATGGCATCTCGCGCGCGCGAGACCAGGCGACGTGGTGGGCGATGCGGGAGGGGGAAGAGGAGCGGCGCCACACGAGAGGGAAAGCCGATAAGATGTCTCCTTTTTCTTTTTTCTTATTGTCTCATTGCCGAAAAGCATCAGCATCATCTCCCGCAAGTTTCCATGATCCCGTTTGCGGAAACTACGCAGGAAATTCACATTCCCGGCGTTCCAAGATTTTCCGTCGGTATTCGCCCTTGTCAACGTCGCGCGTAGCATGTTAGGAATGCGTACGTATACAGAACGTGTCTGCGTGAGTGTGCGCGTTCGACGTGCAAGCGAGGACCAGCGAGAAAGAGAGAAATGGAGAGAAACCGGTAACGGGGCGAGACAGATTGTGTGTTGTGAGAGAGAGAGAGACACGACGATGCGAAACGTATACACGTTGGTGGGGGCGGGGACGGAGAACGAAGAGACGAAAACAAGGGAGGACGGAGATCCCCCCGCCGGAAAAGATCGAGAGAGATCGATCGACGATGGATGGATCTCGATGGATACAAACGACATTGGCGACGATGACGCGGGATAAGGGCGATCCGCCAACTGCGGAGCCACGCTCTCTCGTCGCCGAGGGAAACATCCCTCGGCGATATGAAACGGATTGCGATACGCCGCTCACTTCAGTTGCTCGGTGCGCCGATGTCGGACAAGCATGAGCTTCCTTCTCCTCTCTTTCTCCTCTTGCTTCCTCGCGAATATTCTTGGAGTCAAGTGCACACAATAATTACCGTAAAAGTGGTCCGACGAGGGACAATCTCCGCTGGCACTCGTTCCGCTTCGGTGCAACGGCGACGACGCACAAATTTACAGCATTTTTTTCCGGTGACCGAACGGGAGTAATGTCCATCCACCATGCGGCGCGATGGGACTACGTGACCACACTGTTCTAGTCTATCGCACTCCACAGTGATGCCAGCCAGAATTATACATAGCCATCCGCTTGGCTTCGCTCGTGGCGCGGCATCTTGCTGGCCGCGGATTGGTGACGCCACTACGTCACGGGACGCAGGGCGATTGACCAATCACAGCGCGTCCGCGGGCGCGGTTCGTTTGTCTCTCTCGGGTGCGTCGACCGCGCGCAGCTTCATTCCGGAATCGTTCGCTATTATCTCACTGGCATTGGCAATTGGCATCACGATGATTGAATTCACCATAGTTGCATCAGAAAAATTACCGAACGCAAAAAAATTGTTGAAAGTTTCAGACGAAACTAACGACTTTCGCGTGAACATTCTTAACATTCCTAACTTTTTTTTTTCGTTCTATCTTTATTGACTTATCTAAAGGAAGATTGGTGTCTTTGATACGATTATCTTGCCAGAATTGTTTCCAGTTTCGTTACAAGAATTCAATCTAATATTGACCAATTTAAAATACTGAAAGATTAATGATTGATTTTATTTATTTAAAGGACTGAAACAATAGCATTAAAAGAACAATAGTATAAACAAAATAAGTAATACAATCACTATCTTCCAATTGTATAATTTTATTAACATTAATATTAATTCATGTAAGAATTTATGCAGACTAGACCGGTTATAAAAAGAGAAGAATTAAAATTTATTTTAAAAGTCGTGCAATTTTATTTTTTTAATGCACATTCTTATTTCTTATTGTATTATAGCGTATAGAAGATTTCATCATTTAGATTTTGTTATCATGCCTAACTATTAAATAAGAAAATTGAAACATGTATAATGTAATAAAAAAACATAAAAGAGGATACAAAATTTATCAATTATAAAAAATGTAGTTCCTTTTAATAAATTATATATTTAATAAATTATATATTATTATATGACTCAGATAATTGATACATTTTTTATCTTGTATGTAATTGTTTTTTAGTTTTAGTTAGTCATTTTTATCGTACATGTTTCGATTTTTTTGTTTAATAGTTAGACACGATAACAAATGATGACGAAACCCTTGTATCTATACATTATAATACGATAAGAATTAAAATAGAACTCAACAAATTTAGAAAATCGATTAGATACGAAAATTATACAAAACTTATGTATTCAAAGTACATTAGAAAATTATAAATGCAAATGTGCGCATTCGATATGCATATATGTATTATGGTAATGTTGAAACTGGCGATAAATTGGAGAACGGAAATATCGATATAATCTCCTCACCGATTATTGTTAATTGGGAAGTCAACGCGATTAAAAATATTTGTCATGAAAACAATTTCGTAAATCTATCGCTTATCATCGCCTTTTATCGTTCTCAAAATCTTTTAAGATTAAGAAATATAATTTTATTTTTGTTTAATATAATTGTATTTTAATTTTGTCTCTATAGAATCATTAGCCGCTTATCTAAAGTACAAAATAAACGCTTCGGTAATATTATTAAGTTTGTATCAAAGTCTCATATTCATTGCTACGTCTGAACATTTCTTTTCATTGTTACGTTCTATATTTACACGTCTAAATGTTGAACATGGCCTTTATTTGAAAAGTTTTCAAAACGTGACTTTCATGAGATTTTGAAAGTCTTCATGTACTTTCTCAATTTATACCTGTGAGAGACTTTAATATTTCTTAAAGATTTATTTTAATTTTTACTAAAAGAAATTAAAAGACATGTTCTTTTTAACTGAATTTCTTGCATCGTTAATCTTTCTTTTTTTTTCTCCAATGAACCATGAAAAAAATTCATAATGCCTTTTTTTTACCAATGAGCCATGCAGAAAATTCAGCTAATGCCTTTTTCTACTATATAAATTAACTTTAATTTCAACTTACTTTTCATCTTTTTCTAGTTCTAAGAACTAGAAAAAGATAAAAAACTGAACCGAAATTAAAGTTAATCAACATGAATGAAAACGTGTATAAAAAGAAAGAACTTAAATATCTCAATCGCGTCTAGCGCCAATTCTGTACATTGCTTCTGTCAAATTTATTAAAAGGATATAAATAAAGCTACATAATCCATATTCAATTGTATCTATATTGCACTTACAATGATACACGCTCACTAAATTGTGTATACTCACGTTTTCTTAATTTTCTTGACAAACATATTTGCCACTGAGGTCAGTTTATTAATGTTCCATCTACAAGAAAATACCAATGATGTTTACACTTTTATAGATTCAACAATTGTCGTGAATAGGATCTGATGCGAAAAATGTAGACGCAAATCTGAGAGGGTGACAAAATAAAGGTCGGAATCCGAGAAATTTCCTTTTACGAAATAGAAACCATACCATATTCACGAAAATGTTGGATGTCTCTTATCACAAGAAAGTAACGTTGTCAATACTTATGCACAAACAAGTCGAATACTAACCAATCTTTTGTAATTGACAAGATTAAATATTATTATAACTTATATGAGAATCCCTATGTTAGATTGTTTCTTAATATATTAAATGCTACTTTGTATTAAATATTAAACATTATTGTTGAACATTATGCTCCGTCAATCCGTCGCTCTCTGTGACAAGAGCTCGTTCCAGGATAACACGACCTTCCTTGTACCGTTGTTGCTCGTCTGTTGCGAATTCGTACACCCACCCAAGCTTAGCATCACAGTTTTTGCAGCTGACGTCTCGAACCATGTGACGACCCGTCAGCATCACTCTATCCTGAACCTCGCTGTACATCATATCATAGAGTTAAATGATAGACGTATGATGGATATCACATGAATTTTATATTCAATTGAATATATTATTTATATTTTTTAATATATGTTTGATTCAATTATAAAATATACAGAGAAAATAAACTACACAGAAAAACAATAATCAAAAGGTGCTTTCCATTTAGTAACACAAGTCGACATAACAGTATTATCAATTTTCTCCAGCTTAAAAACCAGAAATTTTATTTATCTTGCTGAAGATAACCTATTTTCAAAATTGTTACTGTATTGTAATATGTTCTTTCAAAAAATGTAAAAAAGAGAACCAAAGATTTATGTAAAAATTGTAATCTCTGACAGAAAATCATAGTTTGATAACCACAGTCAACAGATTCTACTTTTCTTGGCATTCGATGACTAATATGACACTTTCTAGTAAGAGATTTATACTACAATGAATCGTTACATCTTTGTTATTTGCTAATGTCAAGATGAAATAATCATTGTACTATATTATCTCTTGTTGGAAAACATAAAAAAACAGAATAACTTCTGTTATCAGATGAAAAGCATCTGAAAAGAAAGTAATTTAACAAATATTTCATAATGGTAGATCCCGAAAAAGGTCTATTCCTTTTACCTATTTCTTGCACAGAAATTCAGATAAAAAAACAGGCCTTTCATTTTTCTTCTTTTTCTTTCCGTTGGAGAAAAAAAAACAAAAAAATCAATAGTGCAAATTCAGTTTAATAGGAACACAATAGTCGAAAAGAATGCAATCTAACAAATATTTTGTAACGGCAGACCTTGAAAGCTTGAATACAAAAGCACAAATCATTCGAGAAAATTCGTTTCATACTAATGATCTTGTACAACAAATGAATAGACGCACCTATAATTCAGGTTGACGACTTTGCTGAAGAGAAATGCACGTCCCGTGGCACCTGTGAAACGTGTGCTCACGAGCTGTGACCTATTGGTGAGATTGGTGTCGCAGGAAGCGCAGGAAAATAGGCGACTGCCACCGATATGTTCGAGGAATATCACTCCCATTTCGAAAAATAGCTGATGGAATGACCTGCAACGATCTGTCTGCGATCGATCCGCTAACGTTTATTTATCTGGGCGAATCGATATGTCGTAGAAAAACAAAATTACACAACTGTCAATGCTGCCATACTGATCCAACTGATCTCTCTTTGTTGTTGTGTTGGCTTGCGTATGCGTGACGTTATTGCCAATGTATACTAACAGTAGAGCTGGAATCAGCTGAAGTGAGAAATGTTTGTATGATATGCCGTGGATCATCGGAATATATATAGAGATGGAACTTCCAGCGCGAGATAACGAGCGATAAAAGATATAAGCAGAAAGTAACCTGAGAGAAGACGTGAGAACCTTTTTCCTGTAACGTAAAATGTTGCTGCCCTCTGAAGACGTAAATGCAAACTATATATCAATGTCCATTTTTTGCGATGCTCCTGATGAAAATAAATCGCTGAAATCGCTGAAATAACTAAAATTTATCAAATTAATAGAGATTCAGGTTTCTCTCTGCCTGTATTCATAGTCAGGGGGTCGATTGTGTATCTTGAAATGAGGCGAAAATCACAAAAGTAAACAAATTCACTAGAATATTCGTAATTTAATTGGTCAATACCTAGTAATCATTGTTCACTTTTGTAATTTTCATCTCATTACAAAATACACATTCGAGCCCCTGATCTTATATTTAAGATCGTTTTAAGTACAATCTTAAGATGTCATGAACCAATCAGAAAGCTGTATTAGCATCTATTACTTAAGATGGTCTTAAAATAAAATCCGACTATTGCCTAATTTATGCTTCCTTAGCAAATGAAAATGAATTGAAATGGATTAGAAATTTTCAATTCATCCGAATTCGTATTTTAAATCCAAAAAATGAATTGTATATATAATATATATATATA